TTTTTTTTTTTTTTTTTTTCTAAGCGTGTCAAGGACGAAGCTTGTCGACATTCACTGAGAAAAATCCCTCGGTTATTGAAACAATAGCACGTTTGCTATTTGATGATTGGTGGAGAAACAAGTTGAGCACTTACCGTGGCGAAACATTTCTCATCATTTGTCATTTTAACCCTTTCGTACCTGCGGGACATATATGTCCGACTTGCGAAGAAAACCATAACTTTAAGACAAATAGTCCTGTCGATTTCTATACATTAGTTTCTTTTAAGGAGAAAGGTTGAACCTTTACACACATGTAAAAAAATTACTATACTTTTAAATTTAATATTTTCGATCAAATATAGTTATCTGAACTTTTCAAAGGTTCAAGTATTAGCTAGCATTCCTCAGATATTTCTCCATTTCACTCAGCGAATTCATATAAGAGAGAGTCGCATTTTGTTGGCAAGTGGACCGATGAAAGTTGTATAACAGCATAAGTATATCGACATCCATCTCAATAGTATATACGGAATAGATTTTGATCTAAAGTCGAAAATGTATTCAGAAGTTTCTTCTATAGTCATTCTATTTGGAATTTATTATTTTAAATTTAAATTTTTTATATCTATTTAGTGGAAAAAACCAAATTCAAGTGCATATTTTAAGTATCAGTATTTAATATCCAATATTTAAGCTTTCCACGCGGCTGTCATTTTAAATTTAAATTTTAATAGTGAATTTGTAATCAGCAGCTCCAAGAACTTCTATGATCGTCTCAATGCGAAACATACCTCTTCTGGAAAATCCGGAGGCACGAAAGAGTTAATAAATATCCATTGTTTGAGATACAAGTCACATTTATTCTCGTCTATTTAGATTAGGGTTAGTCAGTGTCTCCATTATAGGAGTGTTGCTTAGAGCAGCAAATTGAAAGTAACAAAGCATTTGCTCCCACTACGGGATCATTTGCTGTCCCATATCTGTCACCAGACTATTTGTTGCGGGTACTTTGTTGAATTACCGAAACTTCTCTCTCAGTGTGTTATTCCACTCGCAATGACATCGGGATAGAGCGATCCTCGTCGCGCGGGATTGCAAGTCGGAATTTTTAGGCTTGTACCGTAACCAATTCCGAGTGATATACCATCTATTACGCGCGGCTGTGGCGAGTCACGTGACGTTCGCAAATGCATGCAAGTCTTGGAAAATACGTAGCTCGGAACGAGCGAGCCTTATTCTGTCATATGAGAATGATTTAGGCCATATTGATTAAGAAATTACGTGAACCGTCTCTTCTCTCGTGTGCCCGGATCGCGCCTGCCTATTCGCCACTCTCGATCACCACGATGGCACGTCACACCGCGCAGATATGTAACTTTTAAATAAATTATGTAGTCAACACTGCGAATGTGTATTACACGGGGACTGACGCGGAGAAACTGACGTGCAACAAACACACAATTTGATACAGAATACAGTTTGCAGTTCTTTAGAAACTGCTCGGAATTGGTTTCTCTTCCTTTTTCTCCTTTTTTGTACTTTTTTCTTTTCTTTACATTGAGAAACAGGCGGACCGCGGGAACGTATCGGACGTATCGTGAGAATTGTCTACGGGGAAATAATGGAACTATTGGAGTCCAATTTTACATGTACTGTTCCGACCGGGATATTTGAAGAGTCGATCGATTGCCCGCGGGAGTCATGACAGGCTACTTTTTTAGTTTAATTACAACGACGTTTCGAGTACTCCGCATACGTACTTCCCTCTCGTTCCCATCCGTCATATTTTCAAACGTTTCCGCGCGCGGGAAATGTCTCTGGAGCGCGCGGCTCAGTTTAATCCAGATAACTTTATCTAACATTCATTCGCTTCACTCGGGCTACAGATTACATAATGAGTCGAACATTTTAACGTCGAGTAATGAAATAAGTCAACTTCGGCGCTGTTAACAATTGGCGTGTCGAATATTCGACTAAATAGGCTAACTCTAACTCTCTGTCAGGGAGTGTCGGGCGAATTCTTGCGAAATCCGTCGTCGCGATCCCGAAAAATCCTCATTTTCGACGGGGCTGGAGGCAGAGCGCGAGGGGCGGCGGTGCACTTTCGGAAATTCCGTGCAATTTCGCGTCGCAGCGGCGCGTACGACGGTGCCCTCTCGACGACAAGGTGGCACGGGCAAAAGCGGAGCACCGACCGCTCACGGGGGCGCGCGAGCGCCGGAGGTACGGCGGGGG